TTCTTCCATTCTTTGAAAATAAAAATGTGACAAAGTAACTGCACAAACATAAGGCATATGATATTAAAAGTTAATCAATTAATATTGTAACAAACCATTGTAACAAAATACAATGGTTTACGTACTGTTAAAGCTGATCAATTATTTCAAGAGAGCAATTAACAGAAATCATTATGCATTGCAAATCTCTCCTTATCAATGAGTAATACTGAATATTGAAAGGAAAAAAAAAAGCAACCCTACCAGAGAAAAAACTGAGCAAATTGCACCATTTATACAGTCACTAATCTAACAAAGCAGTCTAATAATTATTTGCTACAAGCAGAGAAGTTAAATCAATTAATTTAGTCACCTAATTTTTTTGAGAAACTACTTCTAGAAATTTGAGAAATGACAATTCAGAGCTGCATTACAGGCTAGTTAAGTACATTCAACTAGCAGAAGAGATAGAAAAGCAGCCCACAGACATGATGCCTGGGGTAGAGGTTCTGCTTCTGTGGGTGAGAGTATAGGACACCATTTTGCAACTCCATTAATCTCTCCCTACTTGTAAAAAAGGAGCTATTCCTTCTTTACTGAAAGTATAAACCATTTCTCTTCTTTCAAGTCTGGTAGGATCCCTAGTTTCTTTCTGGTTTTGTATTATTTTCCAGTGCGGTAAAGAAATTCCTCTAATCCTTTTACTGCCCAAAGCCTTGCGCTATGGCAAGTCTTTAAAATAGCTCATCTTATATATAACTCTGTTGAAACAGGACCTACCACTTTTTGAAAAATGTGCCAAAGTAACTGCACAAACATAAGACTTGCGCTATGGCAAGTCTTTAAAATAGCTCATCTTATATATAACTCTGTTGAAACAGGCCCTACCACTTTTTGTCTCTCAAGTTACCACAGTTAAGCTGCTGCTGTATGTCATCTGCTCTATGGTAACAGCTTACATACACTACTTTTAACACTCAAACGTGTTCTCCTCAAGGGCTAATGTCTTGTATTACTGCAGGGTAAGAATCTGCCTCTGGGTAGTCACTACAGAGCAGTTATGCAGGGCCACTTGTCATCTACAACCAATTCAACAGATGAATTTACAACAGTCGTCCTGTTGCCAGAGCAGGACCCTAACATGCCCAATGAGATAGGTATGCAGGTGTTCTCTCATTAAACAGGAATAAAACAATGAATAGCCTCATTATCAAGTAATGTTCTGTGTACTAAATAAGAAACTAACTGAAAACAGGTTGCATTTTTCTTCCAATGAGATTCTCACGAGGTATGCTTATAGAAACTGAATTAAGGCTGCACAAACATTCCAAGTTTTATGATCTCTTCACTTTTTGTATCATGACTGAACAATCTTGAAGTCTTGAAGGTGTTTGTAGCTTTCTTCCTTTGCTGAATGTGCTCAGAGGGCACACGAGAGACAAAGCTGCACATGTTTTCTGTTCCAGTTCCATTCCTTGGACACTGATCAGCAAGGCTCACAGCAGCAATCATGTTCATTCCAGAACAGAGGATGCTCTCTGCAACTAGCAACTGTATTCTCAGCCCTCTGAATATATACACAACTTAACAAACTCGCTTAGATACGAGTAAAGTATCTCACCAGTGCAGCTTCCACCTGGAAGAGTTAAAAATTTCTGGTGAAAGCAATGGGGAGCTGTGGTCTTGTAAGAGGTTACCAGATTTTTTTTTTTCCCCTCTGTGCAAAACAACTTTTCCCATTGTTCTCAAAACACGCTTGAGTTTTTAAAGATTCAGCCTGAGGGAGACATCTGGCATGGAATGTGTTAGACTGTTAGAATTTGGCAATATTAGTAGCAAGTGAAAATAGAAGTTCTTAATCGAAAACGTCAGGCACCTTTAACAAAAGATGGTATTACCACAAGGGACTAAGAATTTTTGCAGGAGGACTGCTGCACTCAAAAAACAAAAAAAAAAGCCTTCTCAACCCTGTTGTGGCTCAGTTGAAATCCTGTTAATACTGAGTCACAAGTGGGAAAGTGAAATACAACTGTAAAAAAAAAAAGGGAAAAAAGAGTAGTAATATTATTCCAGTTTGGAGAAAGAATGCTTAAATAGAAGTTTACAGAATCCAAAGTCTGGTAGTGTCCTCCATTAGCAACAGTATCACATATAATTTTTACTGGTAAACAGAGCATTTTTATTATGTTCTGGAGATTAGACCAGTAGGTAACAAGCTAAGAAGATCATGCTTCTGACCAAGTCCCCTTAATTTCCTTTTAACACTCAAACATTTCAGCATTGTAAGTTTAAACATACAGTCTAAGACAAAAGCAGCCTAAAGAATTGAGTTCTACTTACTGAAAATAGGAATGTAACCACAGCTGCTTCTGTGCTGTCTGTATACTGTACGGAAGCGAGCCACCAGCTTAAGGAAAAAAAAATAGAACATTTGTTTTTTGAAAGACATTCGAAAAGCAGCAAGCACATTGGGGAATAAGTTATCTGTACCATCCTCATGACTTATTTTCAGAAAACGGTTAAATGCTCCAGTAGTATAAAATGGTATATAGGGGTTTTTTTTCCCTATTCTTTTAATTTAGCAAGTTCCTAAACACTACATAGCAGATATACATTAGAAAAAAAGAAACAGTATACAGGCTATAGAATTAAGTCCTCTTAGAAGACAGATGTCTATGTGTAATTTTTTGTTATGATATCACTTGGTATCAACAAGATTAGAATAATTACCCATACAAGCTAGAGGGAATAAAACAAGCAGTTTTCAGTAATAAAAACCCCACCCGAACCACCAAATAACATTATTTTAAAGAGCAAGAACCTCTCTGATGTAATTTTATTTATATTGATTTGATCTTTGGCTAATGCATGTTGTGATTTGTTGAAATTAATTTAACAAAGAAGAATCAGCCATGGCATACTGAGTTATATTAGTGCTGTGTATTAAAAACAGGATGCAAAACCTACTGCATTCAGCCTGTCCTAGAAGACACCATAAGGACCAGTTACAAAAGCTTTACTACTCTTCAGGGATGCACTAACTGCAGGAGTCCACAGAGCTGTTCATTTCCACAAACACAGAGTTATGTAATTCACCAATATGAAAGAAACGACAGTAAGGAGTCACTGTGCACACTGCATTTCTGACTTTCAACTTTGCTAAACAGATGTTGTAGACAACCAGATATATTTCAAAAGGCCCTAACTTACTTGAGAGAACCACAGATACCTATAAACTCACTGGCTGCAGTTTCTACTGATGTCCAAACACTGCTCAAAGGAAAGTTAAGGAGAGCTAAAAGCATTC